AAATTTTCTTAATATCGTCACTATACTATTAAAGAAATGGTCCACAATGTGAATTAAGAAAACAGGAATGAATGACTAAGGGAAAGTTGGGTACAAATACAAACCCTAGAAAACTGTACCCCATATGTGCTACCCCACTATAGCCTACAGTAGCTCTGTCATATAAATCTGACACACCCCCATAGGCAAAGTGGGGGAGAACAAGGGGTCACAAGACCAGTCAAGCAAAGCAAAGCAAGCTCAGGGTGGATCACAAAGTCACCACACATTCCGAGCACAAGTTCAAGGCCACAAGGCCAGTTCACATGCAGGATTACATATATATATAAGGCTAGACAAGCAAGAGCACGTGTATATATATATGCAACAGTACAAACAAGGTCAAGGGGTGAGCAAGTGAGGCAAGGTAGGCACAAGGCCCAGCTGAGTACAGAAACGCTGATGATCACAAGGCGCAAGTGCCTTGGTGAAGATATCAGCAGTGTTGGCCTGAGAGGCCACGTACGCAAGTCGCAGCTGACCACGCTGCTGTAGCTCACGAGCAAGGAAGTAGCGGAGAGCAATGTGCTTCGTTCTGTGCTCCAGTCTCTGCTCTCGACACAAGGCCAGCATGGCCTTGTTGTCTACTTACAGCACTGGAGGAGAACGAGGCGGCTCTCCGAGGTCAGTCAGCAGGTAGGTGAGCCAGCGAAGCTCCTGTGCAGCCATGGCCCCAGCGTAGATCTCAGCCTCACAACTGGAGCCGAGAACAGAAGACGAGCGGGTAGCCCGCCACGAAACAGAACCGGAACCAAGGCTGAAGGTGTAACCCTGTGACGACCGCTGCGTAGCCTGGTCGTCAGCCCAAGAAGCGTCTGCGTGCCCAGTGAGGACCACTGGACTCTGCCCTCCAAGCACAAGCCCCATGCCCGACGTACTGCACAAGTAGCGCAACACCCTCTTCGCTGCAGCCATGTGCTCCGGTCTGTATCTCCCAGGAGCAACATAGCGTGCGAGAATGCTAAGAGGGTATGCAAGGTCAGGTCGTGTGCAGGTCATCAGGTACATGAGGCAGCCAACAAGCTCTGGGTACGGGCCACTCGACTCTACGGACTCATCCGAAGGCAGAGCTGAGAGCGAGTGGCGAGTAGGCAGAGGAGTGGCCTGAGGCGAGGAGTACGTGAAGCCGAAGCGCTGAAGGACCTGCTGCACCATGTGTGACTGAGTCAGGGTAATGGTGCGGCGTGCTCTGTCCCGGGTGATCTGCAAGCCAAGGTAGCTGCGCAGTTCACCCAGGTCTGTGCACGTGTGTCTCTTCTGCAGCTCGGACTTCACGTGGGCGAGTCCAGCAGTGTCAGCTGTGGCAAAGACCAAGTCGTCGACGTACACGAGGATGTAGAACGGCGGCAAAGAAGTGTCGGTGCGCAGAAACAGCGACGGGTCGGCAGTAGAGGGAGCAAACCCAAGAGCCGCAAGTGTAGTCCTCAGTGTGTCGTGCCACTCACGCGGTGCCTAGCGGAGACCGTAGACTGGCCGCCGGAGGCTCCACTGGGTGCCAGGAGGAAAAGACCCAGTGAAGCCAGGTGGGCGACGCAGCCAGATCTCCTCGTGCAGGCTACCCTGCAAGAAAGCAGTGCTGAAGTCAAGAGAGTGCAGCTCGTAGTCGCGGTGAGCAGCTACGTGCAGCAGTACCCGAAGAGTGGTCATCTTCGGGGTGGGAGAGAAGGTCTGAAAGTAGTCAACTCCCTGCCGCTGACTAAAGCCACGAGCCACGTAACGCGCCTTGAAGACAGGCGGAGAACCCGGCGGCCGCTTCACCCTGAAAATCCACATGCCACTGACGATGTTCGCCCCAGGCGGGGGAACCTCGTCGACGTAGGTGCCTGTGGACTTCCAGGAAGCCATCTCTGCGTCCATAGCTGCCTGCCACTGAGAGGAGTAGGGACCCTCTATCGCCTCCGCGTAAGAGCGCGGAGTCGGGATGTCAAGTGCATCCGGGTCTCCCTCAGGGGTAAGCAGTACGGACACGAGTTGAGGTGAAGCAGCAGCCAAACACTGGAACTCCTCCTGCCTGTCCTCAAGGACGTCCGTGCCAAGGGCACACTCACCCCCGACGGACGGAGGACAGACAGACTCAGCAACAAGACTAGCAGCGTAGTCTAGACGACAGCGAGCAGCAAAGTCGACGAGCTCAGTAACTAGGGCAGACGCAGCAGTGGACTCAAAGGAAGGGTCAGTGACAACAGTAGCAAGGAGACGTGTGACCGTAGGACTGGCAGCACGAAGAGAGTCCGACTCCGGGTCAGGAAGAGAAGGAAGAGAGGACTCAGGAGGAGAAGGCAAAGGGGCACGCAGAGGAGCAGTGGACGGACGCAGAGACATCCGGTGTGTGCCAGGGACAGGAGGAGGACGCTGACGCGAACCACGACCACTAGTGCGAGCAGCACGGACAGGCGACGCAGGGCGGGACGCAGGCTCACGACGCTCAGCAAGACCTCCAGTAGGACCAGTGTAGGGAGAGGGAGCGGGCAGTGGGGAGGCCGGCTGTAACTGGAACTGTGACGGGACAGGCTGTGGACACTCTAAGGGAGGAGGAGGACCAGTAGAAGGCGGGAGACCAAGAACCTGCTGAAGGAGCGGAACGAAGTACGGCCGAGGCCGCGCGGCGACTCCAGACACAGCAGGGACAGCACCAGTACCCCCAGCGGCAGCACCAGCGCCAGCAGCACCTCCAGCTCCAGTACCTCGAGCAGCACCAGTAGCACCCCCAGCAGGACCGCCTCCAGGACCGACAGCAGTAGCCTCAGCGCCAACACCCTCAACAGCTCCAGCTCCAGTCGTACCCGTAGGCCCAGCAGCTCCAGTACTCCCAGTACGAGCACCTCCGGGACCCACGGCACCAGCACCCTCAGCAGCCGAAGAACCTCCAGCTCCAGCAGCACGCCTCCAGCGCCGGGCAAACCACTCGCGCAGCTCCTGTGGAGAGAGTGGCTCCCGCCGAGACGAAGCACCCGGAGAACCTCCAGGCTCAGCACCGCCAGACGCCACACGAGCAGGCCCAGCTCCCTCAGGCTCCGCACCCCCAGGCTCAGCACCCCCAGGCTCAGCACCCCCAGTAGTAGCACCCCCAGGCTCAGCACCCCCAGGCTCAGGACCCCCAGTAGTAGCACCCTCCGGCTCAGCACCCCCAGGCGTAGCACCCACACGCTCAGCACCCCCAGAGTCAGCACCCCCAGGCTCAGCACCCTCAGCAGCACCAGAGTCACCAGTAACCTCGACAGGCTCGACTGCGTCTACCTGGGACACACCTGAAGGGGCAGGACCCTGAGGGGGGAGGGGGTCTACCGGGGGGGGACCTGGTACAAGGAAGAGCGGTGGTGGGGGGAGGGACGGAGTGCGGTAGGGGAAGAGGCGGTAGTAGGGGACCGACTCGTCAAACGTGACGTCCTGGGAGGACAGAACACGGCGAGAGGTGGGGTGGTAGAACTGCCACCCTGGCGCGTCAGGGGGGAAGCCAAGGAAGACGCAAGGAGCAGCACGAGGGGACAGCTTGTCCGCAGACAAGTCGCGGACAAACGCCCGAGATCCCCAGACACGGAACGCAGACGCATCGCCAACCTTCCCCGTCCACAGCAAGGCTGGGGAGGTCTCCGGCATGGAGACCCTGGGGTGAAGGTTGATCTGATGCGCCGCGTACCGAACAGCAAACGGCCACAGAAAATGGGGGGCAGCCGCATGCATCATGGACGTACGGGCGACGTCCATGACCATGCCAATGCGGCTCTCAGCAATCCCATTTTGCTGTGGAGAGTCCGGAAGCGTGAAGGTCTGGCGGATGCCTCGTGCACGACAGTAGGCTCGCAGAAGGCCAGAGGAGAACTCTCCACCTCTGTCAGAGTGCAGACGCAGAACAGGAAAGTCCGAGCCGAAGCTCTGCCTGAGCTGGAGACGAGCTGCGCGGATCCAGTCGATCAACACCTCAGTGACATCACCCTTGCTGCGCAAGGGGAAGAGTGTGGTGTAACGCGAGTAGTCGTCAACCACCAGCAAGAAGTAGCGCTCGTGACCCTGTCCACGGACGCGGGCCGGGCCCCACACGTCCATGTGAAGCGTCTGCAGCGGGGCCTCTGTCGGAGGAAACTGGGAGGAGTGAGGGGCAGCCCGCTGCCGCCCCTCGACACAGGGGACGCAGGTAGGGCCGGGCCCCGGAGGAAGGGGAGGGAGGGACCGGGGAAGACCAGAGACAAGGACACGGGAGGCCATGCCTCGGAGACGAAGCAGGGAGGGGTGACCAAGGCGGTGGTGCCAGAGGAGAGTCTCGTGAGACAGGAGGCGACACGAACAGGGGGCAGACTCAGGACCAGACCTGGACGCTGCAGCAAACACCTGACCTGACGCAGCTACCTGACCAGACGCAGTGACCGGAGGAGACGCAGTGGTCAGTGTGTACAGGCTCGACCCTGGCCGACGTGTAAACGTGGCCAGGTGTCGGCCTGTCCGAGCGTCCGTGCAGTGGGTCACCCGCTGACTCGCAGGAGTGAACTGGTGAACCCCCGCATCCTGTAGGTCAGCACCACTCACCAAGTTCGTAGAGAACGAGGGGAGGTAAAGACCAGACAGGGTGCCAGAGGGGGCCGCCGGACACGGGAGGACAGTGGAGAAGTGAGCAAGGACAGGACCCCCAGAGGGGTCTGCCAGAGAGACTGCAACTGGCCGGCCAAGCGGCGTGAGTGTGGTGCGGTCTCGAAAGAAGGAGCAAGAAGCCCCCGAGTCAAGGGTGAAGGTGTGGGAGGCCGAAGCCGACGCAGAACCTGAGAGAGCAGACTCACCAGCACCTGAGGGAGCAGACGCACCTAGAGCAGCAGCCTCGCTAGCACCTAGAGCAGCAGCCTCACCAGTACCTAGAGCAGCAGTCTCAATGCCCGGGTCGGGCGGAAAACACCGGTAACAGTCACCCTCATCACTAATAGTCACAGTATACATGGCAGCAAGAATAGCATCAAAGTCAAGGTCAAAGACAGCTACACCCGCCCTAGACAGCTCACCCCAGCGGGGGATCTCAGTGGCCTCAGGGAACTGGTGACGCCAAGCGTCCGTCAGGCGGCCAAAGCAGCGCTGGGTGGAGTGCGCACCCCTGCACTGGTCACCCGCGCGGTCGCCGGTGCGGAGGACGTAGGTGCACGGACCAGTACCCCAACCCCTCTGGCGTGCATTGTACCACTCACGGAGCTGCTGAGGGGAGGGGATGTCACGAGTGCGCTGCTGCTGCTGCTGCTGCTGCTGCTGCTGGCGCTGACCACCACCGGAGCCGACCCTCTGCACAGCGCCACCCCGACCAGCTCCACCTCCTCCGCCGCCTCCTCCTCCACCGCCGCCACCTCCGCTCCCACCGCCACCGCCGCCTCCGCCTCCGCCTCCACTGCCGCCACCGACACCTCCACCCCCGCCACCACCCCCACCGCCACCCCCACCCCCTCCACCGCCTCCACCTCCGCCTCCACCGCCCCCGCTAGCTCCTCCAGTGCCCCTGCCCCCCTTGCCCTTGCCAGGGCGACGTCTCCCGCTAGGGGTAGACGCCGCACCGACCGACTCAAGCCCAACGAGGTCGGCCGCAGCAGCAGAGGCAACAGAGGGCAAAAGGGGGGAGGGGGAACACCCCTCAAAGATGGGGGTGCGAGGGTCACCACGAGAGGCTCCTACAGCGACTATGCTCTTCTCTGCTGCTAGGAGGGACTTCTCGAGGAGGTCAACGGTGAGAGTGGTGGGGCAAACTGAGAGGAAGTGGTCCCTGACTACGCGAAGGGAGTCAGGGAGCCGGGTGACTATGTAGTAGAGGGTGATGTACATGGGGGGGGGGTTCTTGGTGCAGAACTCAGCAGGAAGCGCAGCGCGGTAGCGAGTGTCACTAGTGCGGAGGTGCGTAATGAGGTCAGCGACTGTGGGAAAGGCAGCAAGGTCAGGGAAGAGGTACGGTAGCATGAGGCGGCTCAGTGCAGCAGTGGCAGGGGAGGAGTAGCGCGCAACTACAGTGTCGTACAAGGTCTGAGCACTCTTGTACTGGCTAAAGTGCGCACGCTCAGAGGTAGGCAGGTGGCGACGCACAGCAAGACGTGCAGCAGCATCGCGCGTGGCCCACTGTGAGCGAACAGTGGCGTCAGCATCAGCAGCGGGGGCAGGAGAGGCACCAGAAGTGAGGTCAAAGAGGGAGAGGCCGTCTGCCCTGTCGCACTGTAAGAAAAGCTGCAGGTCATCTATCCAGACATCAAAGTCAATGGCCCGACCCTCAGCGTCAAAAGCGAGGACACTAGGGGTAGCCATGACAGTAGTAGACTAGCAGCGCAAACAGTAGGGTGAGGGCAGTGCTGCGAAAGGGGCGCTGCTCTTACCGGACAGGGCGGCTCGGGTGGCTCGGCTGCAGGGCGGCTCGGCGGCTCGGCTGCTGGGCGGCTCGGCGGCTCGGCGGCTCGGTTGCTCGGCGGCTCGGCGGCTCGGCTGCTGGGCGGCTCGGTGGCTCGGCTGCTGGGCGGCTCGGCTGCTGGGCGGTACGGCGGCTGGGCGGCTCGGCTGCTGGGCGGCTCGGCGGCTCGGCGGCTCGGCCGTTCGGCTGCGACTGCTGCTGCAGAGACGGCGGCGGCTGCTGCCTCAGGGACGGCAGCGGCCGGCCGCTAGGGGCCGCGTCAGGTGCAGGAGAGGGCCGCGTCAGGGGCGGCGTAGGGGCCGCGGCAGGGGCGGCGAAGGGGCCGCGTCAGGGGCCGCGTCAGGGGCCGCGGCAGGGGCCGCGGCAGGGGCCGCGTCAGGGGCCGCGTCAGGGGCCGCGGCAGGGGCCGCGGCAGGGGCCGCGTCAGGGGCCGCGTCAGGGGCCGCGTCAGGGGCCGCGTCAGGGGCCGCGTCAGGGGCGGCGTAGGGGCCGCGTCAGGGGCCGCGTCAGGGGCCTCGTCAGGGGCCGCGGCAGGGGCCGCGTCAGGGGCCGCGTCAGGGGCCTCGTCAGGGGCCGCGGCAGGGGCCGCGTCAGGGGCGGCGTAGGGGCCGCGGTAGTGGCGGCGGAGGGGCCGCGTCAGGGGCCGCGTCAGGGGCCGCCTCAGGGGCAGCGTAGGGGCCGCGTAGGGGCCGCGTCAGGGGCCGCGGCAGGGGCCGCGTCAGGGGCTGCGTAAGGGCCGCGTCAGGGGCCGCGTTGGGGCCGCGTCAGGGCCGCGTTGGGGCCGCGTCAGAGGCCGCGTAGGGGCCGCGTCAGGGGCGACGTAGGGGCCGGGTAGGGGCCGCGTAGGGGCCGCGTAGGGGCCGCGTAGGGGTCGCGTAGGGGCCGCTAGGGGGGGGGCCGCTAAAAAAAAAAATTAGGGCAGGGGCGCAATGCGCGTCGGGCAGCTAAAAAAAAAAATATTTCGTTATGGTGGGCCCTTAGGAAGGAACGGTCCCATGTAGGAACCCGCTCTATACCATGTGAATTAAGAAAACAGGAATGAATGACTAAGGGAAAGTTGGGTACAAATACAAACCCTAGAAAACTGTACCCCATATGTGCTACCCCACTATAGCCTACAGTAGCTCTGTCATATAAATCTGACACACAACTGGTAATCTCGGGTGTTTACAGCTGGGATTCGGAATGTGCATTCAGTGTGCACTTCGATAGAAGGCTGAAGAATCAGTCCCCTTAGAGAAAAAAAGGCTGAAATATCAGTCTCTCTAAAATTTGAACACTGAGAAATCAGGGTAGGTACAAAAAAATACCCTGAAAATCCGGAATTTTAGGGTTTTTTTCCTGATATCTGAGGGCCTGATTCGGACTTGGTTCGTCACAGCAGATTCGCCCTGACAAAAAAATCGACCTCGCACAGTCGTTACGCGCTGTCGCAGCACAGCAAATTCGCCCAATCACAGCAGATTTGCCCTGACACAGTAGCAGATTCGCCCCTCACACAAGAGATTCGCCCTGTCAGAGCATGTTTCGCCAGAAATCCCCTTGGTGCACGGTGCACGGTGACGGCGCGCCAAAACAAGGAGTTTTCGGTTTCAGGGTAGACCCCGATACAACACTGACTCGTCAGTGTCCTCAAACACAAAACACTGGAAAATCAGAGTTCGAAATTAAAAAACACTGAAACATCAGGGTCGTTGAAAAAAAAAGGCTGATGCATCAGGGTCATGATAAAAAACGGGGGTCAAACTGTTGGAGCTGAGAAAGCCCTTAGGATCTTTTACAGGGATGAACTCTGGGTAGGACTGTAATAGCGGAAGCGTTTAGTGAAGAGATTGTGAACCACCTTGCGCTAGTATGTGAGGGCAAAGTAAGTTGATTAAGACAAAGAGATACAAGATTATATAAGAGTACAAGGAATATGAAGGGATACGGTTATAACTGTTTCACTGTTGCTGTTGCGGTTCGATACAGTGACGACTCGGGCAACTGCTCTGTAGCGAGTCAGTTGTGTGTCCTTGCTGTCGCGCTGTATTTGTCAGGTCAAAGGTCGCTGACCTTTGACTTTCGCGTAACTTCCAGCGGTTACTTCAACCTCCGAGGGTTGACTCGCTGGTGCCTCGATATGCTTTGCTTCGCTTGTGTCTTGGTGTTTCGACACGACAGAGGCGCTTAAGACTGATTGTTTCCAACACAAACTTCAGGAATTCAGGGTAAAATTCCTGACATCTGAGGCCCTGTCAACCCTGATAAAATTAGCCCTGGTCTGGGGTGCGTGCCCTGTCTAGCAGTGAAGAGTCAATTCAGGTTGGCTGTGGTAATTGTTCCGTTCTGTGTTGGTTGTGTGCCTGCCTTGCATCTCCATAGGAAGCAAGCAATACAGTGCTAGAGAGCAAGAGCTTGTGAATATACTTCACAGCAAGCAACTTGTAGTAACAACAGAGACAAGCCGATCCAGCAGCAATCTAACATGACCTCTCCTTCATCCAGGCACCATCTGCACACTTCCCCATCACCACCTGGCACCGCCACTCTGTACCTCCATCTTCCCCTGCTATCTGCCCTACCCCACCCCCGAGCTGCCCCGTGCACGCATCTACCGGTAGCGGCGCAGCGAGAGCATGGTGTTGCGCTTCCAGAAGGCGCGCACGGAGGGGCGGTTCTTGGTGCTCTTGTGCCCCTTGCGCAGCAGCCCGCGGTGGTGGCGCCCGGCGGACGTGAGGCCGCGCAGCTCGCGGTGCTTCATGACGGGGCGGCACAGCCAGTTGATGTGCGCGTCGTTGCGGATGGCCTGGTGGTGCGGGTCCACCAGGATCACCTCGTAGTACTTGAACGCCGAGTCCTGGCGCCGTGCGGGGACGGGTGGGGGGAGAAAAAGCGGACAGTGGGGAAGGGAAGAAAAGGTTGGGGAAGTGGGGGATGTGCGTTGGGGGGGGGGGGGGGGGGGGGGGGGGGACGGGGCAGGGGGGGGGGAGGAGAAAGCGGGTGATAAAAGGGGGGAGAGGAGGGGATGGAGGGTGGGGTGAGGGTGGCGTGCGGTGGGCGTTGCATGGAAGACAGCTGCGGGCGTTTGTTTCACCTACACTCAGTTCGTGCGTGGGGTTGTTGTGAGGGGGAACAGAGGGTGTGCTTTAGTGTGTGGGCAGTGGTGGGCTCAAGGGCAAGCGAGCGCGGGCGCGGAGACACACACGCACACACACAAACACCATGGCCCACCCTCACTCCACCGCTTACACCTCCCCCCCACCCCACCCCACACACGCGCGCGCGCGCACAGCGCACCTGGTTGACCCAGTAGGAGTTGAGCACGCGCAGTCCCCCCAGGCGGCGGCCAGCGCGCTCCTCCGCGACGGCGCGCTTGTTGCGTTGGAACTTGAGCTGCGTCACTCCCTGGCTCTTCGGCTTGCCGTACCTGCCGCCGCCACGCGCGCACAATTACAACATGACGCGCGCACACCACAACGCGACGCGCGTACACCGCATCACGCGGCAGATGCGGTCGGACAGTGAACGCGCGACGGACGGAGTGGGGGAGAATGGAAACGGGGAAAGAGGGTGAAGCTGGGGAGGTGCAACGAGAGAGTAGTAGAGAAGCCAAGAGCGACCGCATGAGGAGAACATTTTCTAGGAAACAAGCGCGCGGCACGGAGGAGGCAGGAGGGGAGCGGGGGGGAAGGGGCGAGAGGGCGAGGGGGCGGGGGGGCGAGGGGGCGAGGGGGTTCGAGAGCGTACACGATACCCTTGGCGACGGGCTTCTTGCGGCCGCCACGGCGCACGCGCACGCGGTACACCACGTAGCCCTGCGCGCGCCCACGCGTCACAACACGGGGGACAGCGGGGACAGCGGGGAGGCAGGGAGCGGGGAGAGCGGGGAGCGCGGGGAGAGGGGGACACGGGTTAGATGGCTGGTAAGATGGGCAAGAGAGGGTGGAGCAACGAAAACTGATCGGGAATGAGGGATCAGTGAAGGGCGACACGTGGCTGCACGATACGGAGTGTAAACCATGCAGCGATCCATCTAGGTCCATGCAGACCGTATTGCACCGCCCGTAGACTGTGCGCGACGCGACGATAACTAGCTAATTCTAACAGAATCAGGACGAGATGATCGTGCCGCTTGCCCCCAAAAGAATGGCACGCTGCTGCAAGCCGCATCGTCACGCAGGCCGGGTGCCCTCGAGGAATGCGCTGACATGTTGGATCAAATTGGGCGCCGTGCGAGCGGCGAATCTATGCCGCTTCGCGGATCACTGGCGCATGTGTCTAGAACCAGTTGAATCTCATGATTCGCATAAAGGGGCGCATAGCTGACACAGGCGAGAACGACTGGCGCTTCTGTGACGGCACGCGAGGCGAACGGGGAGCGCGCCTTGGGATCACGCGCGCGGGGAAGGCGAGGCGGAACATCAAAACGGCAGAGAGAGCAGCATGTCACGACACAAAGAGATCAGGCGGACGGAATGCCGCAGAACGAAGCTTCTCGGCTCCGGGCCACAGTTAAGCATCACGGCTCCGACGAAAGAGGTAAGGCGCCGAGTGGCAGCTGGGTTTAAGCGGCAATGGCAGGCGAGGCGACGGGCGCGCACCTGCTTGGCCTTGTATCCGAGGCGGCGAGCCTTGTCAGGGCGAGTGGGGCGCGAGACGCGGATGATGGAGGGCAGCTGGCGGTACTCCCAGCAGCGCACGCGCAGCAGAAAGCGCATGACGTCTGACTGCTTCTTCTTCCATAACTCCGACACGTACTTGTACGCTCCTGCCATGCACAACCGCACGCACGCACACAGCCCCGTGCACGCATGAGGCAGGACGATACTGTTGGCAAAACTAGGGTTTGCTGGTTCCGCAAAACTGTTAAGGGACGAATGGTGGAGTAGAACCTTCATTCGACGGCTAAAAAGGACCT